TTCTTCTCTGGATACTTCCTCATGTTGATTCTTCTCTTCCATCTCATTCTGATCTTCGCTCTCCTCTTTGAGTTGCATCAGTTCTGCAGTAAAGAAAAAACAGATGACATACCATTTTACAATTAAAACAATATTATATTGTTAAAAGAATTCAATGCAATTTGGTACATTTTTGCCATTTCCCATAGACTGCACTATGCTGTGGGTAGCACTTTCTATAAAGCCTGTATACATAATGAGTTTGTAGAAATGCTATATACATTGTTTTACATTTCAAAGTAAAGACAACGACATTATGAGAAAATTCGGGTCTGGCAGGGTAAGTGTCCGAGACATTATCCTGTTGTCTGTATCAGGGGGTCTCAAACTCAAACTGCACAGTTTATTTCCAACACACTTACCTGTAGGTTTCAAACAAACCAAGTTCAGGCGTCAGCGTTCCATGCCATAGCACCAAGGCAAATCTCCTACCCATGTACAACTCCCTGCAGACCGGAGCACCTCTTCCTTCCGTCACTCCACCATTCAAAGCCCCAAAGAAGTCAAGCAAGGGCTGCAGTGGTCCTTATCAACTTCCGGACAAAAACAAGTCTTCAAAACCAAGCAACAGCCTTTAGTTAATCAGGGACAAGCCCTGGGTCCGGAGGATGTCGATTCTTAATCCTCGTAAGCCGTTCTCAATGCTATACCAACATGTACTTCCACAAGCAACCAGTGAAGTGTGAGCTTGCCTCGGCTAACAGTATCCTCAGTTTCATCCTTGGCCAGTAGCCTCTCCATCCAACTCAAGCCCAAGGTCACTACAGAAAGAGTAGGCCCAGACTCCTGCCCTGCTTCCTCATACCCTTCTGATTCCCACAGCCAATGTTAGCATGAGGCTGCCTCCACTACCAACTCCCTCTTCCCCAGGTTTTCCCATCCCCTGGCATTCCAGCTTGTGGATGCCTCTGTTGATGACGCTAAGACTAACGTCAGCAGCTCCTCCTCTCGTTCCTTCTTTTCCTCATACCATTGATTCCAGAGACATCCCAAGCACGTCTTTGCAAATGCCTACGTCATCCCATTTTCCACTAATTTTAACTGCAAAGCACATTCCTGGATCTAAAAACCAAATTGCTGACTCTCGCGTTTTGCCTTGCATAAGATCAGACAGTTGGCTCAAGAGGCATAACATTTTCCATCCTAAGTGCCACGCTATTCAGCACTGCTTCCCCTGTTGGGAACAAGTAATTTGTTAAATTGTACTGTTGATTATCAGTTGATATACAAAAAGCTTTGTTTCTGCCTTTTATATTGTTAGATCACACTCTCTGTTCCAGATAAATAAGATCTAGCCCTGGATACCAGTATTCAACTGAATAAACAATCCTCTATCATTATAGGAGTTGACTGAGAAAACCAGAGATGAGAAGCAGGAGACGAAATCATGATAAAGAAAGAGCAGAGTTTCTTGAATAATATTAGCTGCATATGATTCAATGCTCAGACTTCATCTGACCAGGGGTCAGCTCTTTGTACTCAGTTAGCTGTATTTGGTTATTGACGATTTGACATCTGAGAGTTGTTGTCATAGCAACAGTTCTGGTAATGTAATGTAATGTATTTTTTATTTAGTGCCATGTCAGCAACCAAGGCTATCTTCATGGCAGGAATCTTTCAACAATAAATATACAATTAAAAAATCAACAAACAAAATAAAACAAATTAAATAAGATTTTTTGTGTTAATACATGATAAAAATTCTAAAATCTTTTCGGGTGTTACTTTGTCAAAAATGTCCTTAAAAGAGTTACAACAGTTCTGGTAGCTCAAACCTTGTCGGAAGCAGGTTCAGTTCACATAAACAGGACTAGATTGGGTCATTTTAAGCAAAGTTAATACATAAAGTATGTACCAAATTCTGACATTTTCTTACAGTAGTAGTTACATACACTTGGGAAAATAGTGAATATTTTTAAACTATATATATATATATAAGTCATAGCTATTAATAAAATAAATAAAGTTATTTATATCAATAAAACTTATGCAATCTGCACCCCCGTAATGAAAATACAAAGACTGCCACCTGGTGGAGCAAAGAGAAAACTTATTGATATGACCTTTTTAATCGCTTTAGTACAATTTGTGTATGATCATAGAAATGCACAATATGTGACTTTTTTTAAAAGCAATAATACATTTATGGAGTCATGAACCTGTTTTGACAGTTAATATAACGATGATTTGATGCTTCACAAAAGTTGCAGACGCCTTTACCAATGTCAAAATGCTTTTGTATACATCCAGTTATTCTTTACACCAATTAAAAAACGGCTACTATAATACTACTATGGCTACTATAATAAGGAAAATCCGCTCTAACTGTAAAACATGCATGCCAAGCATGCATCCCTTAACAAGGTCTAAAGTTATTGCGTATCATATTTACAAACCGTTGACTGTGAATTTGATGTAATTTTGCTCACATGGATAATTGAATATTAATCAGATGATGTCATTACGCTGCTGTGCCGTCAGCACAATTCGTGCATTCGATGAGCAATAAATCTGTCCTTCACAACACACGAAGCGATCTCAGATCAGTTCATCCAGACATTTTAATCTGAATCGCAAACTTGTTCGAAGAACCAAACTAGCCAGAGATCAGATATCAGGATTAAAAGATCCAGAATCTGCCAAATCATCTTAGATCAGTTAAGCCACAGGTGTCAAACTCAGTTCCTGGAGGGCCGCAGCTCTGCACAGTTTAGTTCCAACCCTAATTAAACACACCTGATCAAACTAATTGAGTCCTTCAGGCTTGTTTGAAACCTACAGGTAAGTGTGTTGGAGCAGGGTTGGAACTAAACTGTGCAGGGCTTCGGCCCTCCAGGAATTGAGTTTGACACCCCTGATTAAAGCGATCATTTAATTTTGCTGCTTAACAACACTGTCCAGAGACAACACAGACCTTGAACTGGAGACATTCTCTCATCTCTTACTTGCGAAAACAAGTGTCACTTGAATCCACAGAGTCATAAGATTATAAATGTGCAAAAATGAAATAATAATGTATCAATAATTATAGGAAAATATTAATTATAAAATGTAAAAACAATCAATAATAATCAAATTGTTAACTAATGATTTTATTAATCATATAAAAATAATTATATAAATGACTATAATCAAATGATTACACTAAACAATTAAATTAATGTAAACAAATGATAATGAAACACAACACACACATAGGCTTGCTACATGGACACTCAGACCCTCAGATTCTTTAATATAAAGTCTAATGTGTGTGTGTGTGTGCACGCGAGACCTTTGTGCACTTATCAAAACAAACCCCTCAGCAGCTCTGAGAACACAGTAAGTGTATTTCTGAACACACAATATAACCTGCTGTTTTACTCCACAGAACTCCATATTAATTGATTAATTGATCAATTTCTGTGGAAGATTAATCAGTCATTAAAATGATCGATAGATGCAGCCCTAATAAAAACCAACCTGTTTGTTCCTCAGGATCTTCATGTTTGACTCTGAAAGCTTCTTCAGTCTCTTCATGTTTGACTGTGAATGTTTCTTCAATCTTGATGTCTTCACTCTCCTCTTTAATAAACGCCATCTTCATAATAATCTGCTGTTCTGTGGGTTTGGACAAGATGAAGAGCATCATTAACAGAGGAAAATGACTCAATCTCTGGCTTTGTCTCAGTTTAAAATAAAAGTCTCTTGTCCTCATCTCTGTTCTCCAGAGACTGATTTGGTGTTGATGATGAACTGATTTATGATATAAAGACAGAAAATAAACGCAGCTTTACTGTTATTCAGATGTGGAAGAGGCAGAATAACGTTCATTAACGCTTAATAAAACATTACATTCATCAATATATTCACTAATAATAAAGTTACTTATATATCGTTCAACAGCTACAGTGTTGAATGAGCGTGATACATTAATACAAACAATGAAATGTTTATAAACACAAACCTTTCTCGAGTAGATTCACAACAGAAATGGAACGCGGCACGGCGTGATGACGTCATCGACAAGCCGAGATAAAAGTCCCGTGTCCAAAATCTCAAAATACAAACCAATTACTTACTGAAAACACTAAACAGCACTCGAGAAATATTTGGAAAATTAAACTATTACAAGGTGATTATTTTGAACGTGCATATATTTTCCTTAATATTTCCTTAATATTATACATAAATAAAACAATTGTTATGTTTTGTATTGTTTTTAGAATGTGACCGTTCTTCATATTTGCTCTTTGTAATATGGTGCTCTTTATAATCAAAGCCATTTCATCCAGAATATATTTTAAATAAATATTTTTTTTTAAATGGTGCCAGTGCTGTCATACCAATGATTTAGCAAAAGCATAGAAACTCTAATTCTGCTTAAAATGTGAATTAGTAAAGGTGAAAACAGAAGAGGAAATAAGAATAGTTTTGGAATGGGATCAGATTGTTAAGTACATATATATATATATATATATATATATATATATATACATACATACATACATATATATATATATATATATACACATACATATATATATATATATATATATATATATACACATGCATACATACATATATATATAAAATCTGTGCACCAACCATTAAGCTATTGGCGCAAATGCAACAGACAGTTTTAACCCAAAATTACCAGTTCGTCAAATGAAGAGCCGGAGTCAGAGATTCAATCACAGAAAGTTTATTGCAGACAGTTTGCAGTTTCATCATCAGAAGTCAGCTTTAACACTCACACAGGGTACGTAGACCGCTCTGCTTATAATCTGAAAACAAAATCAATTATACTCTAACATAACTACCTTAACAGCATCAAACATTAAGGAGTTTTAACCTGATTGGTTAAAACGCGGATACAAAGGAATGGACTAAAAAGATTACACATAAAACTGTAAATAACTCAGGAAACAATTGCTGACACTCAGGTCATCATATTATCTAGTCCAGGGGTGGCCAACCCTGGCCACCCCTGATCTAGGCCCTTAAACATAACTTGATAAATAATCAAAGATGTAAGAAACAATATGCGTAAAGCCATCCTGGTTTACCAACCTTACTACAGTCAGGGCCTCCACGTCCATAGAGGCGACCTAGGTGGCAGAATAGAGAGGGCGGCGTCCACGACACCTCCCTCACCACCCACGTCCTCAGTTATATCCGCAACCCCCAAGGTCTTCAATTTCATCTGCGACAACCCCCTCCCCCGCTCTTCACTTTGCTAACCTTTCGTTTTCACTTTTAGGTTGAGGGTGGCGTGGTCAGCTTGCTGAACTACAGGCTGAGAGGGGCACCTCAGCTAATGAGGGGAAAAGGGGCAGTGGCTCTAGCCCCCAGGCCACCCCCCTGAGAGTCATGGTGGCAGGCCAGATGGACCTATGGCCAGTCCACCCCTGAGTGGTACGGTACCGTACTGCTTAGAGGAAACAGGCCATTAGGATCTTGCTGTAGTAGTGCCCATCATCCAGGTGTACCTCCTGGAGGAGTTGGTAAAACTCATCAAGCTAAGAGCAACTCTGAAGGATCTGATGGACCCGGAAGTGTTGCTAAATAAGTCCATGACATGTTTCTGCCTTCCGTATCACATACAGCACAGCTATCCTCTCAACAAATCCCATGTCAGACATTTTGCAACAAAACTGGAGTAATTTTGCCTCTGCTGTGAAGTGAATTTCACACATAAATGAAGTGCGTAAAATCAAAATCTCCAAGCATCTAATTACATACGAATAGCACTATTTACTAAAACAAGGCAAGAGGGCCAAGGGGAAGGGGTTAAGAAAATAGAAGTAGGGTTGGGCCCCAATCCCCAACCTCAGACTCATTTGAACAGTGTTGACAACATAATCTAAAGCAGGGGTCACCAATCTCTGTCCTGGAGGTCCGGTGCCCTGCAGAGTTTAGCTCCAACTTGCCTCAACACACCTGCCTGGGTGTTTCAAGTGTACCTAGTAAGAGCTTGAGTAGCTTGTTCAGGTGTGTTTGATTAGGGTTGGAGCTAAAATCTGCAGGACACCGGCCCTCCATGAACAAGTTTGGTGACCCCTGATCTAAAGGGTAAGATAAAATTTCAAGACACCAGACGACCAACAGAGTCAGAGGAAGCGATGGGGGATCATCCTTTTGCGTTCACATCATAGCTTCTCTGCTCACTAGAGGTTTTTTTTTGGCTGCATGCAATTGCAACTTGTGATGGCACCCTTCCCTCTGGTGTGAGTAATTACATGATTCCTGTTTATGACACTCAACAATGACTCCTGATTCGGTTATCTCTGAATGTGAATCCTTTCATGGTATTTCTTCTCCCTCCACCTTAAAAACTTAAACAACTTAAGTCCAGTGTGAATCTTCATGTGTCTTGAGAAATTTCATGCATGTAAAGTTCTTCCCACACAATCCACGGGTGTGAAGCTTTTATCCATTATGAAGGATCACATGAGAATTAGGGGAATGTTTATATCTGGAACTCTCACCACACTTAGCTGATAAGTCGTCTCTCCACTGTGAACCTTCATATGCTCTGCGAGGGTTTTTTTCCAAGAAAAACTTTTTCCACACTGATGGCAGGTGTGAGGCTTTTCTCCAGTGTGACTATTCATATGGTCTGTAAGGTTTTGTTTCCAAGTGAAACTCTTTCCACACAGTTGGCAGGTGTGAGGATTTTCTTCAGTGTGAAGCTTCATATGAGTTTTAAGGCTTTTTTTACGGGCGAAACTCTTTCCACACTGTTGGCAACTGTGAGGCTCTTCTCCAGAGTGAATCCTCATATGCTCTGTAAGGTTTTGTTTCCAAGCGAAACTCTTTCCACACTGCTGGCAGGTGTGAGGCTTTTCTCCGGTGTGAACCTTCATGTGGTTTTTAAGGTTTACTTTACTAGTGAAATTGTGTCCACACTGATGGCAGCTGTACGGCTTTTCTCCAGTGTGAGTCCTCCTGTGTTTTTTAAGGTTCAGTTTACAACTGAAACTCTTTCCACACTGATGGCAAGCGTGGGGCTTTACTCCAGAGTGAATCTTCATATGTTCTGTAAGGTACTGTTTACAAGTGAAACTCTTTCCACAGTGTTGGCAGGGGTAAGGTTTTTCTCCAGTATGGGCCCTCATGTGGATGATAAGGGTTTGTTTCCAAGGGAAACTCTTTCCACACTGTTGGCAAGTGTGAGGCTTTACTTTAGTGTGAACTCGCATATGGTTGGTAAGGTTTGCTTTACAAGTGAAACACTTTCCACACTCTTGGCAAGTGTAGGGCTTTTCTCCAGTGTGAATCCTCATGTGGTTTATAAAGGATTGTTTCCTAGCAAAACTTTTTCCACACTGATGGCAAGTGTGAGGCTTTTCTCCAGTGTGAATCTTCAAGTGTTTTTGAAGATTTAGTTTACAGGAGAAACTCTTTCCACACAGATGGCAGGTGTTAGATTTGGTCTTCTGGGTTGTCCCTTCTGAAGAGGTTTTTGTCTGTTTTGATTCTTCTTTAGATAGTTCCTCATGTTGATCCTTCTCTTCTATCTCTTTCTGATCTTGACTCTCCTCTTTGAGTGGCATCAGGTCTACAGTAGTGGGAAAAGGTACATATGACCACATGGATCTAAAACAGATAATAGCATACCATTTTCAATTAAAACAGTACTATACTGCTAAAATAACTCAATTTTGACCATATTCATTGTGCTGTACTATGCTGTGGGTAAAAGTTTCTATAAAGCATGTGTCCATAAAGTTCTTTTTTGTGGAATTACAAATGTATAAACTCTAGGTTAAAATGTAATAGCATACAACTAAAAATGTTATACACATTGTTTTCCATTTTTAAGACAATGGCTGTTCTTCAGCGGTCTTGTGTTCTCGTGTAAGGTCATCATCAGCTGTCAAAGTTCAGTTCCAATATTCAAGACCGCAAGAACGGAGGATGCATGAAACTTCCCGGATGTGATCTTGATATCGAAGACACACCGATGCAGACTTGAGCACCGAACTCGCTCTGGAAGTCCTAGAAGTCATTGCGGCTGGAGGTGAGAAGCGCAGCATTTTATCTAGATTTATTACTAAAGTTCAGAGATATCACTTATTTAGAGATATCTAAATCAGAGATATCACTTATTTAACTCAGGAGTTTCCCTAAATGAAACGGTGAAAGTAAACATCACCATAGACATCTTAATAGAGGAATAAACACATTAAGGGTGTTTGTTTGCTGAAATTCGTATTAAAATCAGTTTTATTTATATTGTGCAGAGTATATTAAGTTTTTATGCAGAGTATATATTTTTCAAAGGAGG